TGTTCAAGGTGGCTCCTTAAGCCAGTCGATGATTCTTTACCAAATATTCTGTGCGGTAATCTGGTTTTAGTAAATGATAGCTTTTTCTTTTTATCTTGTTATACATTACATGCAATTGCTGAATATTTCTTTTGCCTAAATTTTATTCCCAGCTCTATGTCCTGGATTACTTCGCTCACGAGGAGTACATGACCTCTACGTAAGTAAACTACTTCTCTCTCTCCCCAGCAAGGGATCAAACTTGTTTATCCTAGCTTCTCAAAGGATGCTTTTTTTTCATATGACAATATCATGCTAGATTTGATTCAGTGATCTGTACATACAATTGGTGATACTTATCCTTACGGGACGCTCTGGTCCAAGTCTTTATTGACTTTATGTATTGATAAAGGCTGACTTGCATTCCTATCCAAAAACTTCATGGGAACCTAAGATAGAATATGAATCACAGGGATCATGTGCTATAAATGTAAAAATGACAAAGACATACATATTCAGGAAAAAAAGAAAAGAAGCATTGAGCCTGGCTGATATTGCGCAGGATCTGCCAAAAGTGTGCATAGTTTTGCATTTGTTTAAGCTTGACAGACATCAAAGCAGAAGTCTAAGCCTACATCTTGAACATTTTTTGTAGCATTCTGAATCTTGGCCTTATAGAAGCTACTTGTTGCAAACATGATATATTGGTTTTCAAGGAAATGATGTGGCAAGACTTTCTCTCCCATGAATCATGGGATACTGTTTTATTATTGGTACCTGTACCAGACCACATAATGTAATTAATGCATGAAGTTCACTTGACATTGCTTTCAGCATTGAAGGAATTAGCCAATTAAGGCCAAAGGAAACCAGCCTGCTCAAGTTTTTGCCTGAGATCTCAGTCATTAGTTGCTCAGATTGTGCTTGGACAATGTTTCTGTCTTTGAAATTACTAAAATAGATAGAAAGAAAATTTTCTGAAGATGAAACTATAGATCAGGCAAGATAAGGGAATCTTAGGTTTCAACAGACATGAGGTTCTTGAAGGAGCATTGTGAGTGTGCATCAATGCTAATGATACCATTTTATAATTATGATGCCTCTCTTTTTGGTGAGGTGGAGGTAGAGTTTTTTTGAAGTATTTGAAGAGATATAGGTGATGCTTCCATCTGAAAATAAAGCACCCAATTCGACGAGTTCATATTGTATATGCTCCTTAAGATGAACTGAACCAAGCTGCAGTCAAGCTACATAAAGAAACGCAGGTTGAATATAGCCATCTTTTTAAATTAAACTTGAGTAAAATTTCTCTTAGCTTGGGTTGATTGTTGAATACTAATTAATTTTTCCAAGGTCTAGGATTTCCTGTATCTGGTGTTAGATTTAGCCAGCACATTGACTGACACTTCTAGTCAAATCTGAGATACTGTCCATGCATTTATAGTTTCTTATTCTTAAAATGCTTGTTCACTTTGCGTTCTCGTACCTATTGAGATTTCAATTTTGCCATCCCTTCTCAGACTAGATTTACATATCTGACTCGATTTTGATCTGGTTGGATTTTGCAGATGGGACATAATTGCAGAAAGATTAGGTTTCATGTTGGTGTTTGGAGATCTAGTGTGGATTCCTTTCACTTTTAGCATCCAGGCATGTAACCATTGACCGTAATGATGTTGAAATGAATGCCTTTACATTATTGTTATGCTCAGATCACTGCATGACAACAAACTGATTGCAAGCATGTCTAAATTATATGATATTAGACAGATTCCTAAAGTCTTATAAAATGAAGGAATTTTCTACTTAACTGCAGTGCATAATTCTAAGTTTTTAGTTTTTACCGTACTTGAGTGATAACCATGTCTTGACTGTTCTTAGATTCAATGAAATTCTCTTGACCTTCTCATGGTCGGGAAACTATGCACGACCACCGGTTCCTTTACCGTGTTATAGATTTTAAACCACAAAAGTCCAACTTTTTTACAACTCCAACTTTTTTTGCATGTATATTAATCAATTGGAGCTTTTTTTTTGGTGGATGCTCTCACAAGTTGGTTTGTTGTTGGTAGATCCTCCCCCTCCTTAAGGAGATCTTTTAGTTTTGAATGCCATGTATTCTTTTGACAGCTCATCATATAATTAATTACGTCAAAACCTGTTTGGACTGTTCTATATGCTTCATATTTTACGGCTTCCATAGAAATTCCCGAGAAAATGACCAACTTATCAAATGTCTCGTACTTTCTTTTTTCTTTCTAATTTACAAAAATAATAATAATAATGATAATAAAATTGACTATGGAACGGAGGTTTTTTGGTTAGTGTTTTTTCGCAATACATTGAGCTTCCTTGTAATAGGTGTTATTTTGTTGAATCAAAGTGATTTTGTGAAGATTAGTAGTCATCGACTTGGCAGAACCCTGGCTGCAAATTTATTAATTACACCTGTAATTACGGAGATTATCCTATTATTGATTAATTTGGGATTTTCTTTATTATTTGCATTAGGGTTGGTGGCTTTTAGGAAACAAGGTGGAGCTGACGACGGTTGCATCGATAGCAAATTGCTTTGTCTTTCTAATTGGGTAAATTTTATGACATTGTACAACTGTTACTTGCCTGTTTTAAGTTAAACATGAATTAACCATTGACAACAAAACCTGGCAGATACATGGTTTTTAGAGGAGCTAATAAACAGAAACATTTGTTCAAGAAAAATCCAAAAGCACTTATATGGGGCAAACCTCCAAAGGTTGTTGGAGGAAAGTTGCTTGCATCTGGTTATTGGTGAGATTTGAATCTCTTATGATTCCCTTCATCTTTGCACAATTAGCATAATCCTAAATTCTGCATTTTCTGTTTAAAAAATATAGATGTAAAATTTGATTAATATGATCCCAAGTGCCAAATTCCTATCCTAAGGCTATGATGCTACTCCCAATTTGGTTAAGAACTATTGGGCCTGTCTCCTTGATGCTGGCATAGACATTATTCTTTATGCTTCATTTGCAGGCTACTGTTTAACATTATGGTTTTTTTTTTCATTGAAGGGGAATTGCGCGGCACTGTAACTACCTCGGGGACCTGCTGCTAGCTCTCTCCTTCAGTTTGCCTTGTGGAATAAGGTACCCTCTAATTCCCTAGACCTTACGCAGAACAAGCTATGCACTTAAGGATCACACAAATATCATTCTTGGAAGTCCTCTTTCTTTGCAGCTCCCCAGTTCCTTACTTCTACCCTATCTATCTTCTTATTCTGTTGATATGGAGAGAACGAAGAGACGAAGCTCGCTGTGCGGAGAAGTACAGAGAAATTTGGAAGGAGTACCGCAGACTTGTTCCTTGGAGAATTTTACCATATGTTTACTAGCAGCAGAGCAGCATGGTTGTCCAGCCAATAGGCCTCTTAGCTTTGGAATCCATCTTGAGCCCACTTGCCCTACCGCGTTTCCGGTGGCTATAAATTGAATTTTGATGAAATTAGTGGCCAGAAATTGACATCAGTTAACTTTGTAGTTCATTTTTCTAACATATATTGTTAGTGGAGGACATGAGCCTGTAACAGCTCTTTAATTTATTTATGTTGGTTTTGTCAAAATCGATGGCCATAAATGAGCTTAACCGATAAGCTTTAAGTTGAAACCCAAGGCTCTACCACAATCTCTTTTTTTTTTTTTAAAAAAAAAAAAAAAGAAAAAAAATAATAACAATAATACATCTTAAATTTTAAAAATCTAAATCATACAAAATTTTAATTTATTATTTATAATTCATCTTAATAAATGGTTTAATTAGCATAGTTTATTATTAAAATGATTTAATAGTTAGAAACATAATTAAAATACGTTTAATTTTTGTATAGCAGCCAAAAACATTAGAAAGAGAGAGTCAGAGAGAGAGAAGAAAAAGAAAAAACAAAAAAAAGAAAAGAAAAGAAAACCACCATCATCGAGGGGCGAGGGCACGGGAGTGACAGGTGAACAGATCAACCCTAAAGAATAGAGACTTTTCAAATAAGCAATCAAAGCAAAAGCGACCGCTGAGGAGAGGCAGCAGACACCATCCACGTGTCTGCACAAGAGAGTGGTTGCATGGAAAAAATGTTTCCTATATGGTGACTGTATCAGAAACCTGAAAAAGGAATATAGAGATGGATACAAAAGAGGGGAGATAGGATTCCTCCCATAAAAAAGAGGCTCAGAGTCACGAGAACGGTGGTGGGTGAACCGACAGACCAGTACGGTCAATCATAAATGTATTTATATATATATATATATATGTATGTACGTATATGCATGTCTATATATACAAAAAGTTACTGACTGATACATGTTTAATCAACACTTGTCCACCCTTCGCATGAGATTCGGTCGGTCATGTGTAGGTCATATAGTAGAATTATTGAACTTGGGATTCTCGTTGACCAATTCTATTATCAATTTGATCAAAGATTGGAAATTTTTTGGTTTAATAATAAAATAATTGGTAATAATAATTTTTTTTTTTAAAAAAAGGCAAAGATGATATTTGACCACAATGTAAAATTTAAGATATAATTAACTAATGTAAAATTTTTATTTTATAATTTCATTATTTAAAAGTTTGAATCCAAAATTTTATAGAACCAAATATAACTTAGGTGTTATATTATTGTTAATACATTATGATATTTATTTATTAAAAAATTCTGATTAATTAAACATGCTATATCATTAGTGAATATTTCACTCTTGATGATCTATTAAAATTTATTGTGCAAACAATATTACCCATAAAAATTCACTTAATTATAGAACTATATTAGAGTTGAAACAATGCTTTTCTTACAAAATGAAATTGTAAATCATTTCGGAAGAATATTTTTTAAAAATATAAAATTTTAATTAAAAAATTAATTTAATTTGAACTCAGATAAAATTGTTAATGTCACCCAAAAAAAATTATATTATATTTTGTTTGATATACTTTTATGAAAAAATAAACAATAACTATCAAACATACGTGAAACTTTGAATTGAGTAGGTGACTACTAACTAACTCTTCATTTATCTTCCTCCTCAACTAGGCCTTGGCTTATAAGATGAGCCCATTGTTGGTTTGGTGCAAAAGGTTGGGTCAATTAATCTCAACGCAATCGATCATATTTATTACAATTTAATTCATAATATATTTTATTATAATTTAATTTTTAATGTTTTATATTTAATAACAAATTAAAATTGATTAGATAATGTTTAGATACTTTGAATTGAGTAGGTCGTCAGAGCACGACGGAGCTGCCGTGCTGGATTTTTGAAATTGGTTGAGTGGGTCTTGGGACTGATTTTGAGCTTATTTAGAACATTTATAGGTAATATAAGTGCGTTTCAGTTCCTGAAAAAAAATTTAGGGAACCCAAGGACCGCCTGTAGGTGCAGTAAACCGTTTAACTTTTCGGCATCAAATCGAGTAAGGATCTCTTACCATATTTTCTATCATAGAATTGAAATCTAAATAAATAATAATATGGTATTTTGTACAAGTTAAATAATTGTGTATAATTAATTACGGATTGCTAATGAAATCCGAGCCGAAAATTATTCTCTATTGATTTATTTTACAGTTTAAAAATATGATAGTATCTGATTATTCTATTTTATGGTTTGAATGCATGTATTGCTGTTTTACGTGACTACTGTTTGATTAGGATTTGAGATATGATTGCATTACATGATGCATGTTTATTTGTTTATATGATTATATTTGATTGGGTAATGGAGACTAGGCTAAAAAAAGAAAAAGTTGTATGATCAAATAAACAGATGGAACGACAGTTTTACTAGATATCCTAAAAGATGGTGGACGGACCGGGTACATAGGGAATTATATCGTGAATGTTGTCTCATACTGGACGGGGTATAGAGACTTGGAAGTTCGGTACTCATACCGGACGGAGTATGGGGATGGCCTGCTTCACCCTCATACCGGACGGAGTATTGAGATTTAATGTTTTGGTGCTCATACCGGACGAGGTATAGGGACGGTCATGTAATTGAGATTGTTGAAGGAAAGGATTCACGTGTAGCGAGGACATCCCTATGAACCCCTATGGATACTAGTAGGCTGGTGAAAATGGAAACAATTATGATTTGATTTATTGATAATGGATATGGATTTATGATATGTTTTATGTCACTGATTATTTATGAAGTTATGATCTGTATGGTATTATTGTCTCTATAGGTTGTTTTTCAAAAATTTCACTATGATAAGTGAACGGTAAATGGTTTTATGATTGATAAATGTATTAGTTTAAACTTAATGCTCCATTAGTGGTTTTCAATTTTATACCAACTTTTGTTTCTGTGCTGGTGATATAATGTGATATCCTTAATAGGTAGTATAACTCATCTTTTATTTAACTATTTTAGATCAAGAGAACTAGGTTCCAGAGCCCAATCCGCAAGAAAAGTGCGAGTAGATATTAAATATTTTCTATTTTTTATTTATTACTTTATTTTTCGTGTTTCTTTCAAAAAATTAATTCTGTAATACTGTTAAATACTTTTAAATTATTATGTAAGGAATATAAACTTTAATATCTTATTTCGCTTCTACACTTAAGTTATTATATATTTCGTTTTGAATTTTTGAGGTTATTACACTAAATATAAGCTAGTCAACTTTAATTTTTTTATTAATAAAAAAAAACATTGAGCGATATAAGATAAATAAAAAATATAGTAAATTAAAATAAAATAATTCAAAACTTTATTAACAAATATTAAATTTTTAAGTATGAATTTAATAGTGTAGGAGGGAGGAAACAATCAGACATATTATTTTAATGTGAAAAAACCAAAGGGTGCTGGGACCTGTTGAGTATGCAGAGAATGAAGGATGATGTTACGGATATATTTAAGTGGGGGGAACAGCTGACTAGATCATGACCGAAGCAGGAGGTGGAAGCAGCTCTCTGTTGTTTGTGGAAACTATAACTTGAGAGAAACGAGCTCGTGTGGTCTGGAAAGATCTTTGCTGATAAGACATCAGTCCTACTGTTGCGGTAGTTTCTGGAGGAATGGAGGCAAGCTAAGGCAGTCCATGCCCGAGTAAGTACTCACAGGAAAGGATGCAATGGAAGTGCAAATACGGCAAGCACTAAGACAGGTTTCTGAAATGTAATATTGATGCTAGCTTCTGGAGGGCAGAATATGAGGTCGGGTATGACGGAGTTATACGTGATTCTACGGACAATGTAGTTGTCGCATTCTCTGGCCGCCTGAAGGGTTGCCACTCGACGCACGTTGTTGAATTGTTGGGATGTTGAAGAACTTTGGAATACATACACGCACGTATTCAGGGGCTAGGAACTGTAGAGATAGATGCTTAGACAGTCTATAATACACTGACAGCTCGGGAGGAAGATGAGTCTGAACATGGTTTCATCGTAACGGACTATAGATCAATGTTGATGTCGAGACCAAAGATTTCATTCAAGTGGGTGAGAAGACAATGTAACAAGGTAGCTCATGTGATAACCAAAGCTATTTGTCTTTACCCAGAATTTCGTGTTTGGGAAAGAATTATCCCATACATTGTTGTATTGATGCCTAATTAATGCAGTAACTTATTTTCAAACAAAGTTCCAATTTAATATATATATATATATACACACATTGTTTAACGTGTGTAAATATATATGTCTACCTACTTGATTAAATAAATGAGTGAATGAGAAGACAATATAATAAGATAGCTCATGCGATAGGCAAAACTATTTGACATTACTGTATTGATGTCCTAATTAATGCAAAGAACTTATTTTCAAAAAAAAAAAAATCAATTTATTATATATATATATATATATTATGTTTAACGTGTGTAAATATATATATATATATGTGTGTACCTATTTGATTAAATGAGTAACAAAAATTAACAGGGTCATTTTGTAATTAAATTTTCATCTAAATCAATAAAACTTTCTCAAACAATAATTTTTATTTCTTTATTTAGCATCATTATAAGAAACTATGTTGTACTGCAATATAACTCTCTCCTATTAGCCATATTAATCAAACATTAAATTACTAATGTTCACAGTTTGAAAATTTTTTACTGTTGCTTAATCAAGAATTATGTCATATATATTGTAAAATTTTAATAAACTTTATTGTAATTATACCCAAAAACTTAAAAATTTTGTTATGTATATATAGGCTTTAAAAGGAAAAGCTTATCTATTTGTAAAGTGTCTCTAATTAATGCTATGCTCGTACTCTTTAATTTTAATTGAGACTGTGACTTTTTACATTAATTACATATATTATGAAATAGTATAGATAATATAATAAAAAAATTACAGAATAATAAAATTTCTTTTAAATTAAATAATTATCGATTATATGACTATCTCTTTTAATTAAATATATATAACTTTAAATAAAATAAAAAAAGAAAATTTATAATTTTCAATTTCTTTTCAATTCATCTCTAATTAGGATTTTAAATAAAGTTAAAATAGTTAATTTTCTTTTTTGTTTTTAATAATAATTCTTTTGCACCCTAATGGAAACTCCTACATCCGGCACTACTCTTGTTTGTCTCACTTTAAGG